TAGTGGTATGGGTTACGCTCTAGATTTTATGGTTGGATGTGTGGTATGTTTTGGTTGTGGGTTTGAGTGCTTGTGGGTTGGTAATTTTGTTGGGTATAGAGTTTTGTGAAAGTGGTTTGGTAATTTTGTTGGGTAGATATTGAAGCTAGTTGACGTGGGTCAACTAAATACCCACTCAGTTGTGACCAATTTATATCAATACATATAATTAGGAGTTAGATTAGATCTGGTTGGCATGACAGGGTCGATTGGGACCCATTGATGACAGCACTTCCATTGATGACACTCGGCTTTAGTGAAGTTTGTCAAACCTAAAAAGTTTCATTGTTTCAAGACTTTACATTGATGCCATTATCCAAGACACCTTGTGAATTCTAGGATTTCTTAATGCATGTCGAACTGCAGTTTTACACGGTCACTATGGTGCATCTCCACAGTAGTAAATCTAATGACCGGTGTTATCGCAGTCCAAATGGATGCATCTTCTCCGTTCCTTTCATGTTTATGTTCCATGCTATGGCCTCCAAATAAACAGTAGAGAAAAAGTAAATTAGATTAGTAAATGTAAATATTAAAATAAATTATTATGAAATAAATAGTTTAGTGGTAATACATTGTCTAATCCCGGGTGATCCAAGAGATTTTGATAGGCCATGATGCAGTTTCTAGGACATTTGTTGTAACTCATCCCACAGGTGGACCACCTAAACCAGGACATTTATTGTAACTCATCCCACGAGTGAACCACATAAACCAAAAAATTTATCAATAAACTATTTAGATTTAATAGTATAAAGTAAGTAAATGGAAATATTGTTATAAACTTATTTGTTGCATAAGGGAATGTGTAGTTGTTGTTGTTGACAGGCGTTAGGGACGACAATCTCGATCACCCCGTGCTTGAAGAAAAACGACACATCCATAAATGTATATGTACCTTTCTTGTGTTCACAAAGAGTTATATAGATAGAATAAACAAGCGGAACCCCAACTATATGTTTTTATTTTATCTTTGTTTCTTAAAAAAGGTAAATACATAATAGGTACACTACAACCAGTACTATATGAAAATAAAAATAAATCAATTAGTAGTATAATATAACATCTAGTTTTAATCATTTTTTCTTGTTTGATAGAATTTTTTGGTTAATCTCATACCTCTATAATGAGTTTTAAGGCGCGTAAGTAAAACACCATGTCCCCTCAGAGTATCATATAACAAGTTGGCACCCCAAAAGTTCCTCACATATTGAATTCGATAATTTGGTCATTCCATTAACCATCTTACTTTCAATATGTAGACCCAATAACATGTACATGTCTTTTATTGTTATGGTATATTCATCGGTTGAAAGAAAGAAAGTGTGTGTTTCGGGTCTCCATCTTTCTTGTAAAGTGAGGATAAACTTAGCATCAACGGGTCTTCTAAGACATGATTTTGATAACATGATCGAAATCGACACACTCTAAATAAGGTTGAATATACTCTTCATGTTGGATATATTCATGGTCACGAGTACAAAATTTCAATGGCTCCTAAAAAAAGCATAAATAAGTTTTTCATAAAAATAATAGATTAGAAAAAATTTAATGCAATCATAGCAAAATAAAAACTTACATAAGAATTAATTTTGTTAATGGTCCCTCTATGAGTTTCTCTCATGTTCAAGAGAGTCATTTTTCCAGTCAGAAAATATAAGAGAAGGTCAATACTTGAATAAGATTATAGTGTATTTGCTAGTGATGAAAATGAAGTGAATGAGGTAGATTTAATAAGTGTTGGTGAGAAAATAAATTCCATTGAATGTGTGTTGTTGAGTCTTCGTAGGTGATTTCATGCATGCAAAATGAAAATTCAAATTTAATTAGCGTTGGTGTACATTTTTCAAAGCTTGCGAAAATTCAATTTGCTTCTCTTGGCTACATAGTTGTTGTAAGTGGTAAGGTTTTGCATGCATGCAAAAGAAACGAGTCAACTCAATTGGTGCCGATGTAGAATTTTTGAAGCAAGATCCAATTAGATTGGTGCCTCTTGGTTATTGCATTTGTATGTATTTGTAACTGGTATTCGTTGGGTTTTGCATCCATACAAAAGTAACATGCCAGTTGAATTGGCGCTAATGTATATATTTTGAATCTAGCCCCATTGAACTGACGCATACAGGAAGCAACATTGTATTATTTACCTCTATTAAAGGTCTCCCAAACCAGATCTAAACCAATCTCAAATAAATAAAAAATAAGATATGTCTTATGCACCCAAATATATTATTAATGCTCACATCAATGGAGAGACATATGTCTTTGATGTATTCGGGTTTGGTTTCTGAAATATTGAAATAAATAGAAAATCAAATTTCTTGCATTCAAGGTTCAATTCATCATTAGAAAATGTTTTACTAAGTGCAATCAAGTGATTTATTAAATGAATGCGACGATGGATTCTCCGGGCTGCATTCGGAATATTTCATATTTCTGACTTAATGTATTCAATCTATATCGTTTAACTTCAATGGTTCCTTAATGAGTTTCCACCAAGTATTCCAAATTTCTTTTGCAGATTTACATTGTGATACACGGAAGAACTCATCCATGCTTAATGCACTTTGAAGAATGTTGATAGCCTTCTTTTCATTGAGAACTTTCTTTTTATCATCTTCATCCCAAGACCCTTGAACCTTTGGAGTACCGACACCATTTACGACATTAGTTGGTATATGAGGACCATTTTCAACGGTTTCCCATATTCTTTCTCCTTGTGCTTCTAAGTGAACCTTTATACGGATTCCCCAAAAGTCAAAATATTCTCCATAGAATAGAGGGGGTTTGTTGCTACTACCATAATCTTTTAAAACCGGATTGCGCTAGTGGAAACCATACTGGATCTTGTAGGAACATGTTACCTATAACCTGCTCTGATGTCAATTGTAAGTCGAGTGTGCACCTGAGAGAGGGGTTTTAGGTACTTTAAAACTTTTTCCGATTTTTATCTTATGTTGAGTTTTCTTTCTTGAATTTTTACTAAGTTATAAAAGCGATAAAATGCGGAAAGTAAACGACACAAGGATATATCCTGATTCCCCTCACAGTCTGAGAGTACTCCAGCCCCCTTTCAACATGAAAGATATTTTTAATATTGTTGTGACCTATACAAGACTAATCCTAGTCTTCCTATCACTAACAAACCAAGAACAATCCTCTTAGAATTTTCACTAAGTTCAAATGAGAACAATCCTCTCCAAATGAACCTCTTGCTTCCAACAATCCTGGACAGAAAGGATACAACAAACCACACAATCTTATATCCAACAATCCTGGAAAAATAAGATGTTATACAACAAGAGTTTTTGAATATTTTACAAGAGTGTAATGTGTAGAATACACTTATCAATCTATTGATTAATCTTCTCCCTTGAACAAACAAATTATCAATGATACACAAATGTTCAATGTAATATGGAATGGAACTCAGAATGTTTTTTCAATAAAGGTTAAGTGCAGAAAGTTTCACTTTAAAAATTCTGATTTTGAACACTTAGAGAATTTCTTGAAAGACGAAGAGAAAATTTGAATGTACGAAATTTGCAAAAGGAGGTGAGTTTAATTCTGAAAATAAATTTGTTTATATAGACACAATGCACCTTTACAAATGAGTGAAATCAATGAAATGATGTCATGCTTCAGAAATCACATTTGAAAAATATTCTGTTGAAAAAATAAAGTATTTTTACATAGTGGTTCAATGTTAATCGATTAACACATTTGCACTAGCAAATGGTTAATCGATTAACCCCTTGCAACGTACAAAAAATTCAATGTTTTCAATGGTTAATCGATTAATAGCCGTGTACAAGCAAATGGTTAATCAATTAATCAATGTTAAAAATATAAAAACACTTTTGAAAATGATGTAAAATGCAATGGTTTTCTAAAACACATATTTTAATGAATCGTGGCAAATAAGAGTGATGTTTTGAACATTTGTATATGCAAAGACAAGTTGAGTTCATATACCTTAAAAAATCATGATCAATCACTTAAAAACTTCAAGACATTTGATATATTTTAAAACTTGAAATGCTACTTGTCTTGAGCCATTCCTTTTTGAGAGCTTCAATTGATTCTTAAATGTTGTTGTCTTCATCAAAACACATTTGAAGAATCTTGATTCTTCAACTCACATATGTTAAATATCATCATTGTCATCTAAAATATACGAAACAAATCTCTCAATTTTTCTAATAATTTCACCATCATTAATCTTTCTGTCTAACAAAAGAATCAAGTTTCTCTCAAGTTGTTCGAAATTTCGAATGTACCAAAGACGTATCTTTATTGAAGATTTGATTCTAAAAAAACACGCTCATGTCTTTTACTACTTATGTTAAAACAATAGAAGAAAAACTTAACAAGAAAATGAGATGTGTGAAAAAATGATAAAAAGACATTAATATTTTTTTTAAAAAGTGCATCTCCTCTAAACACCGATCGATAGACGCCAAATCAATTAATTTGTTTGCCTTCTAATTTGTACAATGCAAACGTCATTTGATTGACATGAATGCAACGCATGATCTTTTCTTTTTCAACATAAATATTTCGGAAATTAGCATGTAAACATGGTTATTTTGGTATTTTAGTTGGAAAACACGGTTATTGTTTTGAAAAAAATGTTAATTTTTATTATATACATTTATCTGTATTTTACATAACATTTTATATAATAAAATATCAAATAGTCTTCAAATTGTGTAAGCTTTCATAAACTTTACCCGCATAACAAAAACTTTCAAATGATATCATCATTCCTGACTCAAATGACATGAGCTCAAACATCCTAATAGAATGGCTTAATTAGAGATTACAATACAAGTGATGATTTGCATAAAAGGCAAAACCATCCATCACTAGTTTCTCAATGTGTTAGAGATACATTATTCAAAAATAAGAATTGAAAAACAATGGAACCTCCATTGACACTACTCAAGGAAACAAGCATTCTAAGAGAGACATGAGTAAGCCAAAGCCTTCTCCTCAGAAAGCTCTTCTGCTGTCAAGTCCAATTTCTTCCTTGAAAACTCATCAATTGAGAGTCCTGGTTTATAAATTAGACAATTCAAACCTTTAAGCATGAAGCATTAACACCTAAAATAGTGATATTATGGCTAAATAAAATAAATTATGAATTCAAGAGATGATTTGACACAAGTTAAAGTTACCTTGAACTATTTCCCATTCGCCATTGCGAGTTGTGACAGGGAATGAATAGATCAGTCCAGCTGGTACATTGTAAGATCCATCGGAATAAACTCCCATTGATACCCAGGTTCCCTGATGATATATTGCAATGAAAGAGATTAAAAAGATTCATTATAAAGAATTTGAATTAAAGAGATTAAGCATATGACATAACCAACCTCAGGAGTTCCAAGAACCCAATCTCTAATGTGATCACAAGCAGAGCTGGCGGCAGATAGTGCACTAGAAAGCTTTCTAGCTTTAATAATAGCAGCACCCCTTTGTTGGACGGTAGTTATGAATTCTGCATTCAACCTTCATGATGAAAATTACGTCAATATTCAATAAATACATAAAATAGTTTAAATTGTGAGTCATGGTATTTGTCTATCCACATACCATGCATCATCAGCTACGAGTTCACGGACAGGCTTTTCGACAGAAGAGACTTTAACAGTTGCATGGTTGACATCAGGGTACTGAGATGATGAATGATTTCCCCAGATTATAACATTTTTCACATCAGAAACTTCAACATTCAGTCTTTCAGAAATTTGACCCAGTGCCCTGTTATGGTCCAACCTTGTCAAACAAGTAATGTTTTTCTCAGGAATGGATGGAGCGTATTCCTTCAAGATCAATGCATTGGTGTTTGCTGGGTTGGCAACGACAAGAACCTGCATCATGATGATCCAGAGTTTAAAGAAATGTAAATATTCCAGAAAATGTATAAAGCCTGAATCATGCTTCTATAAATGTGAAGAAAAAAAACTAGTTATTTTCTGTAAAGAAAAGAAACAGATTTCATCAGAATGGAATCAAAATGACTTCATCATACACGATTCAAACCAGGTGGAACCTTTCAAACAACGTGCCAGCTTATTTAAGTGAAATAACCACCTCTATCTCATGGATTGTCCAAATTCATTCAAACCCAAATCTCTTTTTGATTAGCATTAGAAAATACAATCAGTACAGCCGATAGTAATATATTAGCTTTGCATTTATCACCGTCGCATGAAGCACGGACACTGGACACATACACAAATACCAGACACTACAACAACAACACTAGACAAAAAACCAACACTGACACGAAGACACAAGTAATAATTTGAAAAAATAGAAATATAAGCATGAGGATTTAGAATTAAAAGATGACCTTGCAGTTAGCAGCAGCGTGTTTTTCAAGAGCAGAAGCCTGGGACTTATAGATAGAAACATTTTTTGTCATCACATCTTTCCTCTCCATGCCTTCTTTTCTAGGGAACCCACCAACCATTACAGCAATATTGACTCCAGTGCATGCCTCAACCACATCAGTTGTAGCAACAACTCCTGAAACAATTAATTTTCATCAATACATTTAACCTTTAAAGCATTCAAACAACAACACAAACCAACGTCAATACCGAAATTCATGAGATTTAGCAAAGAGGGAAACTCAAACCTTTAAGAAGAGGGAAAGCAGCATCCACCAACTCCATTTTAACACCATTCAGTGCCTCAGCTGCAGGTGCGATATCAAGCATGTGGAGGATCACAGTCTGGTCAGGACCCAGCATCACTCCCCTAGCAATCATAGGGACAAGAGCATATCCAATTTGTCCTAAAATATATAAAAACATTCTTAAGTCAGCTCAGTAGCTCAGTTGATAGAACATCAGTTCAGCAGATGTCGGAGCGGGTTCTATCCCGGGACATCCACTTATTGTAAGCTATTAGTACTTAATACATATGAATCAAACACAGTTCTATTTCTACCTAAAGAGCCAATCAAGAACAAAAATGTAATCAATCTAAAAACATAAAACATGATTGGATTAGATCTGATCGGAAAGTATATCAGAACAAAAGATCCTCATAATTAACGATGAAGGAACCTATTAAAAAAAGACGGTTATGATACGAATACCTGCAGCACCGGTGACAAGAACACGAACTGGATCTTTGGCCATTTGAATGTTTTAGATCGGAAAAAGGAAGAACAGTGATGGAGTTTGAAGAAAAGAAAGAGTTAGAGTGATGAAGTGTGAAGATGATTATTGCTATAATATAATAACTTTATTCACGGAGAAGCCAATGTTGCTTCATGATGAAAGGCGTGAAACGACACCGCTTTTGGTTCCTGTATTATTAAATCGAGATAGAGATTGCTGATGGGTGCCACCATGCCAAGCAGGAATATTCTGTTTGAAAATAAGGATAATGTTTTATTGTCATAATATTTATGTTTTTCTTAAACCACATATTTTCTCGGTTGTAATTGTACTTCTAGGATTTTCATAATTTGATAGGAAAATAAGTAAAATTTTGTTGATAATTGTCTAATACATTTATGAATTAAGCAAAGGATTTGAATATTTGAAGTTCGTAGTTTATATAAATTTATCGTAAAAGGAATAAAAATAAGGATTGAGATACAATGCACACACATAAAATGTTTTTTTATATCTATTTAATTTTTTTATAATTAAAAAAGTATTTTTTATTGGTTAATCGATTAAGAACTTTCTCTAATCAATTAAATCTTAATCGACTAAATAATTTGTTAATCGATTAGGTAACGTCGAAATTCAAACATTTTTATTTTGAACATAGGATTAATTGATTAAATCAATTAAATAAGATGTTAATAGATTAGGTAACGTCGAAACTCAAACATTTCTATTTTGAGTTGGTTAACCAATTATCACATAGGATTAATTGATTAAATCATTAAAAGTCTCATGAATTATTTCCTTTTTGAGTCAATTTTTCTCTCACACACACACACACACACACATATATATATATATATATATATATATATATATATATATATATATATATATATATATATATATATATATATATATATATATATATATATATATATATATATATATATATATATATATATATATATATATATAATCGATTAGGTAATGTCGAAACTCAAACATTTCTATTTTGAGTTGGTTAACCAATTATCACATAGGATTAATTGATTAAATCATTAAAAGTGTCATGAATTATTTCCTTTTTAAGTCAGTTTATATATATATATATATATATATATATATATATATATATATATATATATATATATATATATATATATATATATATATATATATATATATATATATATATATATATATATATATATATATATATATATATATATATATATATATATATATATATATATATATATATATATATATATATATATATATATATATATATATATATATATATATATATATATATGGTGGAGATCAACTTACTTCAAGAATAAGTTTTTTTAATTTACTCTCAATCATAGCCTTAATCTAATGGTTAAATTAGCTTTTTTACTTATAATCATTCGATTAAATCTTCATAGGGCGAAAAATAGTGATTACGATACCGTTGTCCGATGCTTGCCTTCCATTCAAAACACATAAAAATAAAGTGAGTTTAATTCGGTCCTCATACGGCGAAAAATAGTGATTACGATACCGTTGTCCTTTCAACTCACGAGTATTGTAATTGTCGGTTGTACTTAGCTTGTAGTTAGATACTTGTCTCCCTCTAAGTACCAACAATTGAACCCACATCACGAATTCCATAAGCAAACTCTAAAATCAACATCAATTCATCAAACTTTTTTTGCACCTTAGGGCATCATTCTAAAAACCCTTTTTCAAGGTATAAAATCAATCAACACACACTTAATTTCTACTCCAAACTACGGAGCTCTGATTTTCTTATTTCACTATGAGGATACTATTAAGTGGGATTTTCAACCAAATAGGAAGACCCAATAAACAAGGGAAAAGTCTTGAAAGAGCAATGGTTTGACCACGCTCTGGGACTTAGAGATTTTTTGGTTATTGAAGTGAGTAGTTCGACACCAATTGCTTTGACTAGGCAAGCAGTGTCATAGTAACGTTGGTCGAAGAGGTAGTTGTTTGGGCGCAATTATGTCACGTTCTAATCTTGATAATTGCTTGGGTTCTTCTCTCAAGAGGACATGTGGAGAAAGTTGGAAGGAAAATTACATGCAGAACTGCACGTGGCGAACAAAAGAGAAAGGAATGTTAGAGGGTAGTTATTTTAGACTTGTATATATATAGTAGTTCATTTTGTTGAATTAAGGGTGTTCATTTGTATTACAAAATCTCACAAAGAACTCAAAGTATCAGCGTTAAGAAAAAAAACTGAATGGCTGAGAGAATGTAAGCACAAATGAAACATCATGTTTATTATTCAATTCTAAGTTTCCTAATTTATTCAATTTACATTGTTCTTTTAATCTTCATCCTTTTCCTAGCCTTTACTTTCATTTGACTACCTTCACTGTTGTTATTTTCACTTTACACTTTCTGCAAGAATTCAAGATGTTTATTATAATACTATTGTCACACCTTCCCTTCGATGTAGTCGAAGTCAATAACCGTAGGATACAAAGAAATCAATAACGAATAGGTTCCTAAGCATTATGTCATATGATTTACTGGTTGATCTTGTAAGTAAACCATATGTTTGTAGTCCAACGGTTGTTAACCATTTTTCTGGGTAAATAAATTGACATACCCGGTGGGACCTGTGCTAAGCATACTTTGTTCATTTTATTCTTTGTTTTTCTTACATTTGAAAATTGTGTTCTACTCTTAAGATTTTTTTTGGGCATTTTTATGCAATTAAGGAGTGGTAGGGATTTGCCTAGTATGTCTCTTCCTCTTGTAGATAATATTAATCCCTAGAATTATCCCTAAAATGTAGTACAACAGCCAGTTGTATTGGCATTTAAAGAGCCAGTTCTTTCAACACTGAATAGAACGACTACTCTAGAGGTGTCAGCGACATCGGTCGCAACGATGCTATCCCAGGGGACTACACCCCCTCTGTAGCCAACTGTGCCTTTGACTTTTGATCCAAGCATGATCCCAAGCCTTGGTACATGATTCAACATGTTCATATACATCATTGAAGCCTATCTAGGGTGTTTGAGAAGTATTAAGATGCAAATTAATTGAAGATCACACAGTTGAATTCACCCGATACAAAACTCATCTGGCAAAGTCAACTCTTTGACTTTTAGGGTTTTTGTTTCAAATTGAAGCTTACAAGCCAAATTTCATCAAAATATGTTTAATCAATGATTTTTTTCATGAAGAAATCAAGATTTGAGAGGTTTCTTGCAAAAGAAGAAAACTTGGATAACTTGAATTTTTCTAAGTGTAGAAGAAAACCCTAATTTTGGTACCAACTTTGAAAGGCCATAACTTTCAATCCACACATCCATTTTTTGAGTTCCAAAGATAAATTTAAATATCTCCAAACAAAAGTATCCTACTGATCTATGAGCAAAAGATGCTTAGATTTTGAGTTATAAAGCTCCAAAGTTTGGAAGAATTTCAAAACACTTAAAACTTTTTCAAGACAACTTTGTTACTCCAATTTTAAGCCAACTTCAAGGCCAGTTTTCACTATTATCCCTTTGGATTCAAGCGTTTCACCAAACATGAAAGTTGTAGAATTTTTTTAGGGTTTTTCAAAAAGTACAGGAACTCCTTCATAGAATTTGTGAGCAAGGAGTTTCGAAGAGAGGAAGTTGAAGTCTAAAACTTGATTTCTAAGTCATGCCCACATGGATTCACTTTGCAAAACCACTCAAATCTCCAAGATTTTGTTTGGAAGACCTTGTTACTTGTTAATATGGTTTAAATCAGATAAGTACACATACTTTTGGTGCATTATCCAAGTGGTTGATGCTTTGCCTCAAATATTTTTTCCATTTTTGGCATAAAGGCATGACTTCCATTTTCATAAAGCATGGCTTTTCCCTAAAACCAGCTTCTTGAGCCTCCAACTTGTCTTCTCTGCACTCAAACACTTTCAAGGTCAGAAGCAATATCTCAGCCACCCTAGAGATATTGTGCTTTGCATGGGAACTACCACAATCCACCAAACTACTAATTCAACCCCAACCAAACCAAAACTTCATGAACTTTAGATTCTGACCAACTCTCAAGTCGTCCATTTTTCCTATAAATAGAGGACCCTCTCAAGGTTCAAAAGGGGGGGAAACCTACACTTGAAACCTCAATAACCACTCTCTTCAACAGAATTTGCAAAAACACCTCAGTTTTGCAAAATCTCTAGCCAGACACATTTTCCTCGTGCATTTTGTAAACCAACACCACAAACCTTCTCTAAACACTCCATAGACCTTGTTTCAACCCTCAAACAAGTTCTGGAATACCTCAAACCTTAATCGTCATCTTCAAACTCCAGATTGCAAGAGGGCACGAGTTTTGTTCTTGAAGCTGCTTCTAATACATTTGAACATTCAAGTCATCTCTCTAAGGATTAACAAAGCCAAGGAGGTTGTCATTTACTTTCTGTAAGAGCATTTGAAGAAGCCTTGGACTGTCTCCAAGAGGTAAGATTCTTTCTCTTTGAACCTTTTGATTCACACATCATTAGTGATTCATTTCTAAAGCAAACATGTAAATATCATCATGTGCTAGATGTTTCAACCACAGTTTGTATTGTATGAGTTGCACATGTAATGTTTTGACATGTGATATTCTTGATGTGTTGCAATGTTGTTGAATAATTTGTGAATTACTGAGTTCTTTCTAGGACAAGATATTGTTATATTCTTGATCCTTGTGAAAAATTCTACAACTTTGATCTTTATATCATTGAAAATGGTTGAGAGATGAAGGAGTTAGAGGAAGAAGAAGATCTGGCTATGGATGATATTGCTAGGGCACGAAGAAGAGAGAAAGTGAGAGAGCGTGTGATGGAGATGAAGTAAGTTGAAAATCTAGTCAACATGACATGGTGCTGACTGGGTGCTGATTTGGCCATTTGGAAGTGTTTTTTAAATTAAAAAATTAGAACCTTGTCTTGCCTTTCCTTGCCTTGCCTGGGTTCGATCCTACTGATCAACCCTTTTTTTATTTTTTTTATTTAATTA